AATGACGTTAAAAACGTCAATCTGGCAACGCTGGTGGGCAACAATGATATTTTTCAAATAAGGCAGAACGGAATATGCGCTCTCTGGAAAGACAATACCTGTAATTATGGTACCGTGTCTGAAAAGTAATAAATTTATGTATGTGGGTATGTTAGGGCGGCCCTTATTTTTAAAAGTAAAAAATGTTTAGCTCCCAATCTCTAATTTTGTTTGAATAGCTAAAGTTATATAAATTATATGCGCATAATTTTGGAATGATCGGACAAGTTTTGGGCGACCCTCATCGACCTTGATATATATTAACTAGGTACGTATGATCATCATCTAATGCCACACAACTTTTTATTACTACACTCAGAAAAAAGGTTGCCAAATATATTTCTCTCAACACAAGATTTGGTAACTGCAAACATTTTTAGCTGTTGTAACTAAACTCTTTTCGCAGTGTGTCTTATACACTTAGTAATTAATTTTTCTTTATTCTCCATAAATCACAAACCTCCTTGCATATTGGTTTCATAATTAAGAAATCTACATGTGGGTCTTCTTTAAAAAAAGATATAAAGAAAGTCGATTCATCAGTGCCGCGGCATACCCTATTCACATGTACAGGTAACTGTTAAATTGGTTATGTTCGATTTCGAACAAGGTAGGCTAGATTTTCAACTTAACTATAGTATATTGCTAGAAAATTTGCAAATTGTACTTACCATTACTATTACATTACGTACTTTTACCTAAGTATTACTTTGTTATGAAATTTTATTACTAAATTAATACTATTACTATTTACACAATCCGAAGTGCCAGATAATGTTTGCGATACAACACTTCGGTTTGAGGGTAAGCAGCTTACGACTCAGAAACACCAAAGAGATGATTGTCGTGAGTTGTTAGAGCTTACAACAATTTTTCTTAGAGGTGTTCCAAAAAATGGAATATCTTTTCGGATGCACCGGGAGTAATCAGTCATGCAAGGTAGATGGCGAAAGCTAATTATGCGCTAAAAATGTATCCATTTCGGGGTCAATCTCAATCGTCTAATAAGGAAAAGAACTCATTAAGGAGAAATTGCGCATTTTTAATCCATATTTACACGTTAAAGCATGCTATATGGCACCAAGAGCAATTCAGTCACCTTTTCATGAGTAATATCATGTAAAAAAAATACATTCTACACCACACAGATTTTGAGCCATTTATAAAAATGAAGTTTCCTTCCTTAATAAGTCCTACTACAAAATCATTTTTCAATCGATTTTCTTTAAATACCGGTTTTATGAAAAAATACCCTTCAACTTCGAGCAGTGATGCCTGTTACAAAAGCAATGCAGAAAAATTACAGAAGATTGTTGTTGTAAATGATGTTGCAGGAATAGGTGTCAAACTCATATAGGAGCCAATATGCTAACAAAAAATTAAAGTGATAAACAATTTATTTTGTAGATAGTGGCCGAACATCGTAAGAAATATCTAACAGCAACTAAATCTAATTTAATGTAAGAATTATTATTATTTATATAATTATTATTGTTATTCATATTATTATTATTACTATTAGTGTAAGAAAATACTGAAAATAAATCGTTTTTTATATTATACTGAATTAAATGTTACTCATACGCACCTACAAATGCATGTAAAGATCGATGAGGCCGCCTAAAACTTGTCCGATCCATCCAACATTTTGTACAGATCAGTGGTTTAGGTATTCAAATCAAATTGAAATTGCGCCTATAGCTATGGGCCACCCTAGGGTATATGTATAGATATCGATCTGAAATTTGTACTTGCGCTGTAGAAATTTTAGGTCTATGTTATGTAGTTTGACTATTGAATGAAATACATAATGTAATGAAATTTTATTGCATGCGCTCCACGTTTTTCATTTTCAATCTCATAAATTGTTTGTAATGAGTTTTTCTAAAATTTTAAAATTAAAAGTCATCAAAACAATTCTATAGGACCGCGAAATATTATTTTCTACTTTTTTGGACCATTTATAGAAACGAGGTATGCATATTAAAAAGTTGTATTTTGTTTTATTTTTTTAGTATTGTCTGTATAAAATTTTGCAATAGATATGTATTAAAATAATTTAAAGATATTCTGATACGTATTGTATTTTATCAAACTGACTTTTTATTTATTTTCTCTTTCAATAAACATGCATATATGTACATACATATGAGCAGCAATTAATTTCATTTCCGGCGAGGTAGATGTCTAGATGTATTCTATGTTCCTGCAACATAATAGAGTTTCATGATCACCTTTCGGCAAGTAGCATAACACAATTGTGCCAGCACAGTTTGTCAGAACAGTTTGTCAGCACTCTTTGCTATGGTACCTATTGACAAGGGAATAGGGAATTTAAAAATAGGGAATTTGAAAGAACCAAGTGGGGAATTTCAAAAAAATGTTCTGGCATCACTGATGATAACTTACGCGTTGCCAATATTATTGAAATTTAATTCGCAGTTGGAAATTTTGAGGTTAAGTAATTTACACACACTTTTTCTATGCTGATTTTTCATTTTTAATAAGTTTAAAAAGTTTTAGAACCAAAGCGCGGTTGCCAACCGTCCTGTTTTCGGTGGGACTGTACCGGATTTAAGAGCTATATCCCGGTCCCGGTACGACACATGCCGGTACGCAAAATGTCCCGGTTTCTCGTAAGAAAAAAATTTAGACATATATTTTACAAATTCTATTTACTGATCGTCCTATATACCACAAACACAATGAAAACGACGAGCTACGGACCACAGGTGTCAAATTATTTTCCCACGTATTCTGATGTAGATAATTATTTTGGCGACAGGGCTACGCGACGACCGTGGTTGTGGCCAGATTAGATCTATTTCTATTTTTCCAGCGACAGATAAGGTTCATCCTCTTCTTTTATGTCAAACTCATACAAATTCATGATAGCGCTGCCACGCTCAAAAAATGCATGTCGCCATCGACAAAGCGTTTAGATAATGAAGATAACATTATTGGAAGCTGTGGTCCGTAGCTTATCGTTTTCAATGTGTTCAGCACTATACGCCGTTCTACAGCGATTTCCTGCAGACTGTTTCAATCATAACTAAGGGCGTGTGTAAATCGGTTACAAAGTTTAATTTTAATCAATTAAAGCTTTTAAAACATTAAATAAATTTATTTACAAGAAATATTTAATATAGTGTAATACTTCTTAATTTTTGCCACCACCAGAAACTCCATTTCCCAATATTTTATTATTTTTGCTTAAATTTTGGGCAGAAAAATTATACACATTAACAATATTTGCAGTTGTCAAAATTTCCCATACATTTGTCAAAAATTTCACTAGCTAGTGAAATTTTATTCACCTCATACTGTCAAAAATTTACTCACAGCAAGCTTTGTTACCGACTCACACACGCTCTAAATGCAATAAACAAACTGCGCATGCGGTATTGCCGGTTTGCTAACAATTTGTGGCAACGCCGTAGAATCAGCTGATAATTTTAAACGTTAATTGTTTCCCTTTGAATGCGTAAATTCTTGAGTGTAGATGAAAAAATATATGTAATTTTGTCCCGGTTAAAATTAGTGAATTACACGAAACAGTCAAAAACGCGATTGCTATTTTTTGACGAATGGATTTTAAACAAAGAATCCAAGCCGTGGCTACTTGAATAAGACGCCATTTTTTACCAACTTCAAACTACAATGACAACTTGTATGTAATTTCCTGAGTTTTGCACATAGTCTAGACATCTCAGCTGCCGATTCAAAAACGCCCTATCTCAGCACATTTTCGCGTTTTTGAAACGCATTCTGAGATAAGGCGTTCTTCAACCAAATTCTGGGATAGGGTATTTTTCAATAAAAGTCTGAAATAGGGCGTTATTCAATTAAATTATGAAGTACGGCGTTCTTGAACAGTTTTCTGAGATAGGGCGTTTTCGAACTGGCTGCCGAGATAGGTTGATCTTCCACTCAGATGCCTATATATAGAGATTTATAATTTGGTGTAATTTTTATTTAAATTTTAATATATTTTTTAAGTTATTTAAAAGTATTAACATTGAAGTATCCTTTTATGAAAATTTGTATGCACCCATAAAATTTTAAATTATTTTGTTGTGCTGGGACCATGTTTATGTATCTATGAAGTTCTATATTGTTTTGTGGTTCAAAAAAATAAAAATGCAAAATTAACAATTAAAGTATTTGTCAATGTTATTGTGGCTTATTAACATTTTATTTTTAATATTTTTAATGAGCTTTGTGCCACGTGGCACACAACAACAATTAAAATTGATGTCGTTTAATATGTTATTTTACCTACCCTCTTTCCTAACATTGTGTGTCCCGGTTTCAAGAATGCAAAAGTTGGCAACCGTGACCAAAGCCCATAATTCAAATGCCCTGTGAACCGAAAAAATTATAAATTTAATCAAATTAAAGTTAAGTATGGCAATAAGGCCAAAAACGTTCGGAACTAAAGTTTAAGTGGAGCTACAACTCATAAGAGTTCAGAACTTTTCTCAGTTGCTCTCCTAGTCCAAATTGGGAGAGAAAAACACCAACAACATGGAAGAAAAGATCTGAGCTAGAACGATGAAACCGAATTAACTATATATTTACATAATTAATTTTTGTTAATTCATGTGCTGAAAAATTGTAAAATGTTAAATGTACATACATATGTCACTGCATATGAGGCCTTGAGCACCAGAGTAGCCTAACTGGCTGAATCGAAACGGTAATAGCCCGAGGCACGTCCTTTTAGGTTTGTTTTACTGTAATATATAGCATCACGTGGGTGCAACGAACTTTTTAGTATTATTTTTTATATATCCTTCTTTCTCATACTTTTTACCTTTTTTTGTGGATAGGCTACTCGGGCCCTCATGACCTCATATGCATGTTTGTTTTTGAAACGTGCTGCCTATGTTTATGCAAAGCTATGTAAGTGCGTGCGGATTACTACAGATAAAGTGCGGTAAAAATATTTAGATTAGCACCTGTTGTGCGCCATCGGCATATACAGCAGAAGCGTTTTCTTCTCGCCCTAGATGTCTGCACTAAGGGGAGGGTATATTTCATCGTCTTTCCGTTAATTACGCCTTGCGATTTACGACTGCCTGTTTGCTGCTCTCGGATGCCAATTACACTGGCGAATCACACTTTGATTGCTGTTTGTATACCTACATACAGTTATTTGTGTCCGCGTGAATGTTTTTACCCATTTCAGTCCAACATGGGCAGGTGAGTTAACCATTTGTTGACGACATCGGGCCTTCTACACATGCATATGTATGTACATACACCCACACACTATTGGTGTGTCCAAATTCTCTAAGCCTCTTCTTTGTTGTTTTTACGAGAGGGTGTAAGGGTAGGTGAAATTTAATGAAAGCAAACGAGTTTACGCTTTTCTTTAGTTGAATCTTTATTACGCCTAAATTTTTACCCATTCTTTCCTTATTTTTCGGGGTTTTGAAAATGTATCAGGCGACCTATTTAAGTAGAGATTGTTGATTATTTTCAAAAATTCATTTTCGGTTCACACGAAAGATAAATGGCATTTAAATAACAACCCAAAATTAAACTTAAGTGCGATTTAACTTTTCATCTGCAATTTGCCTTAAATATGCTTAATGCCTGGGTACAAGAAGGTAGTCAATTTGTATTAAGATGTAAATTCCACAGAAAAACTAATAGCAATTTTTAAAGCGTGGAAATCAAGATAGCAGGTTAAGGTAGCTCTATTATTGTAGACTAGGGATGCACAGCAGAGGTGCACGCAGTCGGCGTCGCGGACAAACTGCGAGCACGCGAGCGTGCTAGGCGAGGTGAAGTGCGCTGTACGGAGATGGCAACGTATACATATTAACCACTACACACTTCTTTTCAAGTAAAAATGCGTGTATGTGTGTGTACTTTTGCGACAACTTATTAATAAATTAATTTAAATACATTTACAACAACGCAAAACATATTTAATTTACCTATTCCTCACATTTTATTCAGTAAATGAATTCCATCTTAAGGCCTGTATGCAGTTCTCAAGAAAAGCAAAAATTCCATACACAATGACGCACAAGAAATGGCTAAGAAATTTTCTTGAGTCAAATTTCCTTCAGGCAGTACGCAGTTCTTAAGAAATTTGCTACGCTTTTTGCTACGGTTTTCTAAAGTTTTTTGTGAAAAAAGAGCACAAGGCAACCCAGGTTTGCAACAGAAATATATGCCCGTTCTATTATTTCTTGAGGAAAGAGTAAGGCAACAAGCTGTGAAGTATCAAAAATTTCAAAATTCCGTGCACACACACACGAAATAATGGTAAATTTTTCTTGACCGATTTCTTGAGAGCTGCATACCAGCCTTTAATGTAGAATATAAGTGTATAGTATACACTTGTATGTACCTATGCATTCGGTGTGTTTAAATTAAAAAAGCATCACTAAATAACGCACCAAGCATTGAATTCCAATTATTTTGTCTTTTTGGTTTCCCAAAAGCACTAAATTTAGTGCAAAATGCACGACCTTGGCAACAGAGAGCTGAGCACATCCATGCTCAAACAGTGATGCCAGGCCAAATATTGAGTAAATGCACTATGCATATTTTTCTTTTAAAGGAAAAGTTCTAATTGGCGAGGGGATTGATTTTTGGTTCTTACATAGAACACTAATAAGATTCACAAACTTATCTTAGGATTTAATTAATATACAGTATATTTTGCCTTGCTGCCTCTATGCTTAAGTGCACATTTAAGATACCTACCCCAAAATGCGGATCAGAGGCATTATTTTTAACATTAAGAAAACTGCTCCGATAGATGCATTTAGCATACCTGCACATTGGCGATACCTGCCTNGGCCTGTATGCAGTTCTCAAGAAAAGCAAAAATTCCATACACAATGACGCACAAGAAATGGCTAAGAAATTTTCTTGAGTCAAATTTCCTTCAGGCAGTACGCAGTTCTTAAGAAATTTGCTACGCTTTTTGCTACGGTTTTCTAAAGTTTTTTGTGAAAAAAGAGCACAAGGCAACCCAGGTTTGCAACAGAAATATATGCCCGTTCTATTATTTCTTGAGGAAAGAGTAAGGCAACAAGCTGTGAAGTATCAAAAATTTCAAAATTCCGTGCACACACACACGAAATAATGGTAAATTTTTCTTGACCGATTTCTTGAGAGCTGCATACCAGCCTTTAATGTAGAATATAAGTGTATAGTATACACTTGTATGTACCTATGCATTCGGTGTGTTTAAATTAAAAAAGCATCACTAAATAACGCACCAAGCATTGAATTCCAATTATTTTGTCTTTTTGGTTTCCCAAAAGCACTAAATTTAGTGCAAAATGCACGACCTTGGCAACAGAGAGCTGAGCACATCCATGCTCAAACAGTGATGCCAGGCCAAATATTGAGTAAATGCACTATGCATATTTTTCTTTTAAAGGAAAAGTTCTAATTGGCGAGGGGATTGATTTTTGGTTCTTACATAGAACACTAATAAGATTCACAAACTTATCTTAGGATTTAATTAATATACAGTATATTTTGCCTTGCTGCCTCTATGCTTAAGTGCACATTTAAGATACCTACCCCAAAATGCGGATCAGAGGCATTATTTTTAACATTAAGAAAACTGCTCCGATAGATGCATTTAGCATACCTGCACATTGGCGATACCTGCCTTAAAAAATATGCGACTAGTATCAATTATCAAAGAAAGTATTACGTTTACCTGCACTGTCCCTACAATTACCTAATTTTAAAACTTTTTATTTATTTTGTTCATCTCGCAGAACAACGAAAATGGCTATAAATTTATGTAGTTATATAGATAATTAGATACTATTCGGTAAAAATTTCGCTTGCAGTAATTTCTACGTGGTAAGTGCTTCTCCATTATTTGCTTTCATAGGGATTTGGATACCTTCCTCATTGAAGTAGGAAAGAAAATTCGCTTAAGTGCCTTTTTCGGTTAAGTGCACAAGTTTTTCGTGCAAAGAAGGATGTGCAGCTAAGCAAAATATACTGTAATCAACATTATTTGTAGACGATTATATTTGTGTTCGTATGAAATAGGAGCTTATGTCGGGAGGCTGGCTTTAGTAAAATGTACAATTCCCTATATTCTTTAAACCACAAGGAATTTTTTTATGAGACTTCATACGAATATTGAATTGCTAGCATCACAACTGCCTCTTTTACGTTTATTTTCTAAAAGTTCTTCAACGACTCGGCGCCAGTGAGTCTTTCGCAATCGTATGCTGCGAATGGTTCATTATACTAAAGCCAGTCTTCCGACATAAGCTACTATTCTATACGGACACAGATATGTATAATTCCCAGTAAAATGACCAATACCCAAATCCCTCGCATGAGTTATTATCGGCAAAAATTTGGATACGCTCAAATCTGGCATCGCTGCAGGAAGTACTTTGTCACGCATGTGAAACAGTGTTGATATTTTAAGTACAATTGTACTTTTTTCAGTACAATTAATTTTAAAAAGTACAAAAGTACAATTTGCCGATTTCAACATCAAAAATACTTTTTGAACCAAACGCTCAAATCTCTTCTAGCACTTTGTTGATTCTTAATCCGTTTACATTTAAGTAAATGGATATACCTATATTTCATATTTGCTTCAAAACGAAATTATGAATTGTAATTTTGAATGTAAACGTGGTTGTAAACAGTAATATTAGTGATGTGCGTTATGGTGATTGCGATTTCTTATCACCGGCCGGTGAAATATCACTTATCGCTATTTATTTTGAAAAAACCTTTAGAAATGCAATTTACCTAATGGCGATCCTGCAGAAATAGAAGTAATTGAGCAATTCGGTGGTTGAAAGTAAAAAAATGTATGTAAATTCCATGCGTTGAAATTAAAAATTTCCATTGAGGATTTCCATTTTATCGGTAGTGATCTCATTTTATGTAATTTATTTGCATTAATATGAACTGACCTATATAGCGTATTAATGTTTTATCATTATTGTCTTCATCTTTGACAAAAATACACGGTCACCCTGTATTTATTTTATTTCTGCTCTTTTGATTTCTGCAATCCATTTTTTTATATCTCCCTTAGTTTTTGAGATATTTCGTGCGCTTTTTGTCGTATGTTACATAATATTAATGATTGGGTATGCCTTTTGTTGTATGTGCTAAAAATGCGTCATATACGACAAATTCCCATACAAACGTACTTTTTTTTAATCATAAAACATTCGTCGTATGTGGCACATACGACAAATTCCCATACAAATGTAATCTTTTTTTAATCATAAAACATTTGTCGTATGTATCGCAAAACTTTGAACTTACGAGAATTCGATGGTCCTCTACTATAACGTCACAATTAAAATTGGAAATTAAACTAAGTAACTAATTTTAAAATTTTAAACTTTTAAATTTTAGCTTGCACTGAGTCTCCAATGAAATGAAAGAAATAAAAATGCACAAAAGACTGAATTTAAGTATTGTTTTTTGTTTTTATATAAAGAAAACGTATGTTCGTAACATATTTACAGCATAAGAGATGTACAGATTTTTTTTTATTAAATACATGAATATGTTTTTGTTATGTTTTTTCTAATAAGTAATCATTATTTAATAAATATGTCTGGTTTTTTCATCAAATTATACCATCGTCGTTGAAATAGATACTTTACTATTGTCGTATGTTCTATGGACAAAACAAAGTGGTGAGTAAACGCTACTTACGACAAATGTATACGGAATGAAAAGTCAATTTTCTCATTAACGTTAAGAGATATTAAATGTAAAATATGGAAAATCAAAACTAATAACACCACCTACGTCTCCTTCAAAAATTACAAAAATCTACCGTACAGTTTCGGATTAATCCGACCTTAAACTTCAAAGCCAATTTTCTCAAAACTGTCTTTTGTAACATTCGACATCCGCTTTCTGAGACGAGCCTCGCCCCGGCGGCAGAAAACACAGAGCACTTATTAAACTTTCTTAATAAATATATATACGTATATCAGGCAATCTTTTTCATATCGGACGCCAAATTTTGTGTCACACTTTCGATTCGCTTCCAATTTTTTTTTATGGGTTCTATTCAATTTTTTCTTCGGAGATATGATCTGTCAAATTTTGAATTTTTTCGTAATTCTGAATAATTATGTACTTCTTCAAATCGTTATATCTCAGGTTCTGCTCGTCATAGAGCCTTCACCTTAACGTCGTTTTAAAGCTAAAGAAACGGGCTTAACACATTTATATATAAGGTCATAATTGTCCTAAAGCTAACTTGGCTATTAACAGTTGAACCTTTTGAAGTTGATTTGCATAGTGAAGACCAGTAAATTAGGGATTTAAAATTACACGATCCTAATCCTTGTTTAATTCTATATAAAATGATGTTTTAAAAAATGGCCGTTTTTACAAAACTATTTTTAAAATATTTTTGAAGTGAAACTTCTTAGGCGGCGGTATCGCAAAAATGGAGAGTG